TAGAGCATAATTACATCACTACAGCATAATTGAGGAGGCGGGGCCAAAGGCTTAACACTCATCCCTGACACTAATCCAACACAAAGAAGGGACAGTGGGCTCCTAGCCTCTACCAGGCTTCAGGAGGCGGCTGCAAAGAGTAGAAATCGGCCAAATAGAGAGATAGCATGCCAAGGGAGTTTGGTCTGCTGGAGAGAACAGTTTGCCGCTCCCTTGGCATGCTATCTCTCTATCTGGCCGATTTCTACTCTTTGCAGCCGCCTCCCGAGGCCTGGTAGAGGCTAGTGGGCTCCTAGTATAGAGGGGTATGGCAGCTTTCTGTGGATTTATGATTTACAAGAAATTGCAATGGCACATTGTGTGTGTGTTTATTCAGACAATTAAATGACTCTCTTGTACCAAAACCTCAACATTTATTTTTCAGACAAAACCATACATGCGTGTGTCAATGTTCACATTCCTTTTCATTCTACATGTATTTTTGTAGCAAAATATATACAATGTTCACAACAATTGACAGTGCTAGAATTCAGTAGGTGATTTTTGACAAGTGTTTTAGGGAAAATACAACATCTATGATATATTCTGTTCAATGCATAGTCTCAATCCTTTAGTCAACCCTGTATAACATCATTTACATGGTATCAATGTGCAGAAATCAGTATTATAATAGAATTCTTTTGGTACAAGGCTGAAATATACACTGCAATACAACAGAATTGCTTCTTGGTTTATCACTAATCATGACATTTCAATAAGTCCTTTTTTATCATAACAGGCGAACCAAACGTTCATGGTAAGTAAAGAATAGTTGCAGAAATATACAGAAATGCTATGGTTCTCTATCATCATTCTCTATACAAATATTTAACACCAAGTTTATATGTAGCCTAAAAGTTTATTTCAAAAAAAGTGGAAAGAAAACTTTTACACATATAAGTTCACATGATAGGCAACTGTACAACTTACTTTGAGAGAAGAAACATCATTGGTTAACATACTATAACAATTCTCATTGGCTAGCATTACATGTGCCTGTTTGTGGTTGGTTGTTGCAACAGCATGTAAGAAGTCATTTCATTGGTCCCCAAAAAGATGAAGTCCTGATTGGTCAGTTCAAGGGTATTTGGCCTTCTCATTGGCCAGTGCCAGCCTCCTGATGTTACCAATACAACCAGCTGCAGCTTCCTGCAAAGCTTCGTCAGTGGACCCAACCATGTCCAATAGCAGCTGGGGAAAATTAAGAAGATCAATGAATGGAAAATACGTGTTTGTATGTAGAAAATCAGACTCAAATCACTGAGACTTTTTTCCCTTCTCCTTATAACCTAACCCCATATTAGTAATACAAACTTGGTGCTTAAAAGATACAATAAAGACTTGATTTAAACAGGTGAGTTCAAAATAGATTATTTTGTTATAGTAATAGGCAAGTAGGAAAGAATGCCTGAATTCTGCTGTTACCCTCATCATCAAAGTAGATCTAAACTTCATTTTATTGTGAGACAGCTACTCCATAAGGACCCTGAAAACTTACAATGTAGTAGAGTACATTTAACCTTTTCCCAGCCAAGGGTACATCAAAGCATCAAATTGGTATTGTTTGCAGCAAAGCTTAGCAAGGAGAGAGTTAAAAACAAGACAAAAATGGATGTTTGGATGCCTTACCTTGACCACCCCAGCGTTGTGCATAGTGATGCAGTTCTCGGGGTCTCTGGACAGCTGGAACAGCGCCTGGGCGGTGGCTCGGTGGACAGACTCGTCCGGCGACTTCAGGTACCGTACGAGCGGCGCGACGGCGTTCGCCTCACCGAAGGCGACACGGTTGTTCCCCCACATGCAGCAGCGAGCGATGGCCTCCGCAAGATGTCGTCTCAACTTGTCGTCAGTCTAAACAAACAAATAAACAAACAAACAATGATGAATACATTCAAACTACAATTCAAACTCTAATACTGTATAGCCACAACAGCCACAGTTTTCTAAAAAAAAAATGCACCTGTATCTTAACAAAGGAAACTTTTGTTACGCAGAATGAAAACATATTGTTTTTGCTCTATTTCTTCTTCTTCTTCTTCTCCAAACCAATAAGGTCAATGACCCGAACCAGATGTCTGTTACCATGGTAACTAGTGTTGGGTTACATCATGTTGTAATTTCATAGCAGGAGGGATTTAGACTCCTGTCTGACAATATACTAGTATATGAATGTGTTTGACAATATACTAGTATATGAATGTGTTTGAGTAAGAGATAACAGAGCAGACCATATGTGAAGATTAACATTATGCATTTGCTTTGCAAATGTTACCTTTCTAGTTGTCATTATAATACTGTAAGGCTCGTACCGTGTTTGTCAGTTTAGCGAGCATGGGCACTACGCCGTGGTCCGTGATGACGGCCAGGTTCTCCTCGTCCTTGGCGATGTTAGCGATGGCGGCGCACACGCTGGCGAGAACCTCCTTGTGCTCGGACTTGAGGAGACTCACGATCAGCTCCAATCCACCTACGAATGACCTCACCATCTCACCCGCATCCTTTAAAACATAGGTGATACAGACGTGTTAGGGGAGCATCCAAAAATACTGAAGGTTGACACTTAAAGAAGTAATTTTGGCACCCGAATCCTACAAAACATAGGTGATACAGACGTGTTAGGGGACATCCAAAAATACTGAAAGTCGACACTTCAAGAAGTAATTTTGGCACCCGCATCCTACAAAACATAGGTGATACAGACATGTTAGGGGAGCATCCAAAAATACTGAAAGTTGACACTTAAAGAAGTAATTTTGGCACCCGAATCCTACAAAACATAGGTGATACAGACGTGTTAGGGGAGCATCCAAAAATACTGAAGGTCGACACTTAAAGAAGTAATTTTGGCACCCACATCCTACAAAACATACTATTAGGTGATACAGACATCAGGTGGGAGCATCCCAAAATACTGGAAGTCGACACTTAAAGAAGTACATTGTAATTTTGGCACCCGCATCCAACAAAACATAAGTGATACAGCCGTGTTAGGGGAGCATCCAAAAATACTGAAAGTCGACACTTAAAGAAGTAATTTTGGCAGACTAGCTTGCACGATTTCCCTTTGGACTACCGGTATTTTTGTTCTAGCATCAATGAAGATAATAATAATTCTGACAGTTTTCAAATCTATCAAGTTGCTTGAAAAACAATATCTTAGTTTGTGTATTTCATTAGCTGGGGATAAGATTGATGTAGAATAATATGTGACATTTTATGCAGTAATATCTATCTGCTTCAAGAAGAGGGTATAAGTACACTGTAGACATCTCTCTCAAGCAAACTATAATAGATCTATATTGACAATAATGTTTGCATGTTTCAGTATGATTTCTACTCAAGGAACTTCAGCTTAGGAACTATTACCCCCCCCCCTCGCCCAATTTTACACTTTTCTGATCCCCACCCGTAAGTGTTAATGAATGGTCCCTTATTTTAAAGAAGATAGCATCAGCATACAGGGCAATTTGCTAGTAGCTGAAGTGAACATTCTGCCCACTCAAGTGTTGTACAGGCAGAAATTCCCAAGTCGGCCGCTCGGCCCATTACAATCCCTGCTCCCATTTCCCCCTACTGTCAACAATGTTTTCCTTCCAGCACGCAAAAACGGTAAACACGCGCCGTGTACCTTTCACTGTTTGTGTAAACGGCGGTCGGAAAGTGCCCAACAACACACAAACGCTCTGTCATGTTGGGTATATGGGGACGTCATGCGATAGGCTTGATCCGCCACTGTTTAGGTTACTTTCGAGGCACTTTGTAGAAAGACTTGGGGCTTCTCTGTTTCTTAGCACTTCTAAGGAGCTATCAGCACCTCCTTTACTGCTCAAAATTCTTCACAATCTTAAGGCTCACTTTCACGTACCCCGATCTAGTTTAAGTCTTAAAAAAGGGAACTAGAAGTAAAGTGCTGTTACATCTTCAAATCACACATATCACACAATTGTACTTAGTCTAATGCTATGTTAGTTTTTGACAATGTGGAATGACAATTTAAGAAAAAAAGTAAATTGTGCAATGTTTAACAAAGACATAATAGGCAACAACCTTGAAAAAAAATGCAAAAAACTGCTCTTGAATTCTGCTTAATAAAACATGTTGTGTACATTGTAGGTTCTTGAAACCCTGAATAAGTCCCATGTAAACCACTTACATGTAGTTGGAATGTATTCTATTCTTTCCTGCACAAAAGAGTAGCTTTGTACTAAGGAAAGGAGAGATTTAAGGGCTTATCTTATCACAATGTTAACAGAATCTTATTAATAGGCCTGTAAGGATTTAGGAGGGCCTGCATGGGGGTATAGTGATTACGAATTACGCAAAATTTTTGCCGCCAATTACAAATTACGTTAACGTCTCAGAGCTGATTACGACTTTACGATTTGCAGCTAATGTCCTATTACGAATTACATTGATTTTTGGGGAGGCTGCCTACGAATTACGAAGTCTAAAAGGGCCTGATTACGCCTTACGAAAAAGGGCATGCAGGCCCTCATTTAGGAGCCCCCAGTGCAACATTTCATTCATTTTAATGATTTATAATCAATGTATTCTAAGGAATTCTTAAAAAGGGGCCAAATCACGACTACCAGGTACTAAGCTTATGTTATAATCTGAATCATATTTATCATTATTGTGGTCTTCTACATTGTTGTACTTTTTATTTACATCTGTCTATGGATACAAGCATCTGCTGTTGCAACAATGTTCTTCTGGGTGCATCTAAAAAAATTTTTTCCTGACTTCTCATTACAAAATTCCAAAATGAAATGATTGATTTGTGTCAAAAACATTGAAATGTTAGAATTTCTTGCCTTACATAAAATGCAGGATTCCATCAAATTTTGGAATACCTGTTCTTGCAAAATGGCCTAGAGGTTCAAATTGAGTGAACTGGCCCCCACTGTAGTGCTTTTATATACATAACTGTGTGGGTGTGGCCTAAGGGTAGAGAAATGGAGATGGGCACTGCCTTATACACTGAGAGATGTGGGAATGATTTGAACCATTTCAGAATCCCTCAGTCCTAAGTCTTTACCAGACTCCAACAATTAAGTTGCTCTAAAATAGGGTTTCAAGGTGTATTGGCTACAAATGTATGTCGAGTCTATTTGCCCAATTTCAACTATTTTCAAGCAACTCATTGGAACTACTATTAACTAGAGACTATATATATCCTCAGGCACATTTTTTTTCTCAGAATGCAAATATGCCACAAATTTTCGCTGTAAGCAAAACCCTTGGACAAAAACAGCCACACAGCTGTAGGAAGTCTCGCACATGTGGGTCCAGGTGTTTAACATGTAACTCAACTGCAGCCGCGACAGCTGTGGAGTGTAAGCCGGGGTGTTGAGAGTGTATGAAATGGCTGGAGTCGCTGGACTGATCCGGTGGAACTACTGCAGAGGTGTGCTACATAGGGGCCTGCATGG